ACACACACTGAATACGTAGGAAACTTGAGGATGATAATGCAACTGAAGAGACTGATGCAAGTTGGGGAGATGGACAGTCCGTGTAGATAGAACGAGTGAAGGCAGGAGGCTGATATATACGCTTAGACAAGACAAGAAACACTGAATACGTAGGAAACTTGAGGATGATAATGCAACTGAAGACACTGATGCAAGGGCGATTGACAGGTGGGCTACGATAGAATGGAAATAATCTGTATGTTGCAACTCTCGTTGGGCAGTGCTGTACTCTCTATCCTCGCTGCTCCGAGATAAGACTGGCCTTGTGGCTAGTACACACGACCAATCATCAAGCGGACACAGTCTAGCAGTCTAGCAACCAACAGATAAAGCGACAACTCTTCTCGTGGTTGTCCCGTTTCCCGACACCGACTCAGTTAAATGAATGACTGACAGGTTGGTATTAGGATCGAGATAATTTCCCATGTATGCTCATGTCTCGTCTTATCTCCTACCGCTTCCTTCGCTGGCTACAAGTTACCTTACACTATACGTAAATGATTTTATATGAAATTAAGTAAAGTATCAGAGATGCATCTGTATCAAGCCAGCTGTGTCGCATATTTGCGGCAGTACAAGTCTGTATAATGCAGAAACAGTTCTGAATCTGCAGTAAACCAATGTTAATCACCGTTAAGACATGTACTATTTTTTTTACTGCTAGTGGGGTGGGACTAAGTCCCTTGTACTGCGGCCACTTCTGGCCTATTGTACCAGCCCCAGATGATAGGTCAGGGTGATTGTGGATCAATTGGTGGAATGAAGATTGGCAGGGGAAACCTAAGTACTCAGAGAAAACCTGTCCCAGCACCACTCTGTCCACCACAAATCCCACTTGACCAGACCCGGGATCCAACCCGGCCCGCCGCGGTGAGAAGCCAGCGACTAACCGCTTGAGCTATGGCGCGGCCCAAGACATGTAGTAACATAAAAATGAACACAGAAAACGCATTTGAAAAATAGGTTGATACATTTAAGAGAACTCCTTACCAGTGTCTGAGGACACGCGATAGCGTAGTTGGTTGAGGCACAATTCTACAAGCAGATGGTGGTCAATGGATTTTTCAATTGACCTAATCCTTCAAACCGCACTATGGTCCTGGAGTCGACTCGGCCTCTAACAGAAATGAGTACCAGGAATCCTCCTGAGGGTAAAGGACGCCAGGCGTGTAAGGCTGGAAACCTCACCGTCATCTGTAGAGAAAGTGGGAGCGTGGACGACCTTACCACTGTCCGATGCTTCCTCTGAGACGGCTGCAGCCCCGTACAGACACAGCTTCTGTCTATTGCTAGGCGACGGTTGGCTTGCTCACCTCTATGAGTGTGATGAGCAGGATGAAGAGCGGCGGCGGGCAGCAGGTGTAATGGTCTGCATAGTACTTCCGGTCCCTCTCTTCCGTCAGGAACTCGTCCGCAATAATGCGCACCATCCTGCAATGTGTTAACATCTCTTTGTTTATTGGACAATGATTTATCAACTGCAACGACTGATGCAGCTGAAGAGTAGAGCGATTCTGAACAAAGGTAAAAGAGGGTAAACTTGTTCCCGTAATTAAGCATTATGCCATGAAGACGTATGAGGGGAGTAGAGATACAGTTCCACCATTCTTGACTTCGGATGGAGGTAAGTGGTCAGCTTCACGCTCCAGCCGGGTCATCCCGGTGGATGGGGCCTCCAGAGCCGATCTGGACGTTATGGACAACAATCTTGCCATGTCGGGAATCGAACTCGGGCTCTCCAGCCCGTAGCCCGTCGTTATACCGACCGAGCTATCCCGACTCCTTGTATTCCGAACAAGGAATTTAAAATAAAAGTGGCTGTGGCCTATGTTAATGTAATATTTCAAGAATTAAACGACGTGAGAACATCACGTAACGCATCTTTCAGGAGAGCTGGCGTCTCGTTGCAAAATCGAAGTCCAAGCCCCGAGCATTCAAGGCGCAACCTGTACACCGAAACATCCGACAGTTCATTTAACAATTGTTAGAAAAAAAAAGTAAAGTTATCCCTGTAACATGCTGTGGAGGCTCATAGGGTTGTGGGACGTCGAGGCTCTCACATTCTCGAGACAGTCTGCTCATAGATGGCGGTGAGGTTGTCAGCCTTACGCGCCGGCCGCCCTTTACCACCAGGAAGATTCCTGGTACTCATTTCTTTTAATAGTGCGCCTGGAATGATTAAGTCAATTGGAAAAACCAATGACCTCATCGCAATCAAATCTGAGACCTTCCGGCTTGCAGCACATAAAGCTTGCCTCCAACAGAAATTATTAGATAACTTTGAGTGAAAGTCTCTCATACCGAAAAGAATAATAGCACAACAGTATACAATGTAATGGTACACAAGGAGAAAATTATTCACAAATAAAAACACTGGCCAGTGTTGGCGAGAACAGCAGATGAGCTCAAAGTACTGGCAGATTTACAGTATATGACGTATCCATGAGCAACTGCGTCGAAGGAAACAAAAGATAAAAAGTTAACAAATATAATAACAAAAATATCCAATGTCGAGCTTCAAAATAACCCGCTCAATGGTTCGATACTACATACAACACAGACAGGCAGACATGACATCCCTATCAGGCTGTCTTTTTAACTTCTAAAGAATATAAAAAAAATAAAGTTGTCCCTGTGCTTAACTAATTAAGCACTACGCCATGAAGACGTATGGGGGAGTGGGTTTATAGAGCCACGTTTTCTTGACCTCGGCGTTTGTTGTGAGTGGTCAGCTTCACACCCCGGCCGCTTTGCCCCGGAGGAAAGAACCCCCGGTACTCATTACATATGAGACTGCGTAGGCCCCAGTGCCGGTCTGGACATGGAGAAGTGCAACATCTTGCCCCCAACGGAACTCAAACTCTGACCCCTTGGTCAAGCCCGTACCTAGTCGCTATACTCTTAAGGGAGAGCACAAAAATGAAAAGAGACGTGTCCTGTTTCAACCCCTTCCGTGTCGACTGTACAAAAAGAATATTTCCGTGGCAACCTTTTCTTTATTGTTAGTGGGGTGGGACTAAGTCCCTTGTACTGCGGCCACTTCTGGCCTATTGTACCAGCCCCAGATGAAAGGTGAGGGTGATTGTGGAGCAATTGGTGGAATGAAGATTGGCAGAGGAAACCGAAGTACTCGGAGAATACCTGCCCTAGCGCCACTTTGCCCACCACAAATCCCACTTGACCAGACCCGGGATCGAACCCAGGCAGCCGCGGTGGGAAGCCAGCGACTAACCGCTTGAGCTATGGTGCGGCCTATTTCCGTGGTAACTTTCAGTCTCAGTTCATGAACAGCCCACTGTCCAGTTATAAACAGACCGAATGCGCATATCAGAACAGTGTAATTTGTATAGGAATCTGTCCACGCGTTCCAGTACTGGTCAAAATCGGACAACAGTAACGGATACTTCACATGAAGACCTACACGCGTTTCTGCGCGCGCATCTCGAATGTAACTCGCTAAATGTTTGCAGGGGCGAAATATGCTTGGGGTAAAAGCTGTAGAGAAAAATGAGAAGTAAGGACCGGGAGGGAGCTGGGGCGGAGGTGGGGGGGGGGCAGCCCTCCCAGCACGGTTGTGCGCGCTGTGCCCAGGTTTCCGAAGACGCTGGGGTGGCCAGCACAACGGCACTGAAACACGCGAGCGGGGCAGCGACACATTTCACACGCGCTTTGGCTTGGATTTGAGGTCAATAAGCGAACTCAGGTGAGACTATTTCAGGCGCCGTATTTATATACAGACATCAGCTGATCCAAGTGGAAGAATATCTGTCTGGTAGCCCACTCTCCACCAAACATGCACGCCATACTTCTTGTGGCAAAGAGCCGCCACTGATCACTTACAGCAATAAACACTTTAATGACGCCAAGTGTCCAGAATGGTTCACCTTTGGTTTATAAACGCACTGCCTGAGCCGGTAACTGGGCCACAGAGCAACTGGACCCGCCCGGGAAGGCGCTGGCAGACTATACATAAGAACAAACGAGCGCTGATAAACTTGATAGTAAGTCGATATGTCCGGAGGGCTGGAGCAAAATCAGGAAACAACTTAGTCGTGATAACAGATTATTCTGACGTATAATCAAAATGGTTAACAGCATACAGTCAGTCACCTTGTAACGCGTCTGTGGTCTGCCACGAATGTCCGACTAGTCATGCACTGGATAGCCAACCCCACGGAAAGTTGTGTTCAACGAAATTAACAGTATGGTGATACTGGTTCCTATCGGCTGTTGAAAAATGACCTCCGGTAACGTTATTACGATGACGTGTCACAATCTACGTCACTAGTCAATGGTGACGTACTCTCAAAGACACTTCAGCCACAATGTATACACATTTGAGATTTCTAAGCTATAAATCCCACGGGCATCGAACCCAGCACTGTGTGAATCTCCTGTGGCAGCAGCTTCAGTAGGACAGCTATCAACAGACCTCTGTATGCTGAAAGCTCTTCTTCAGGCACCTTCCTTTGTATCTGGTCTACTTGACGCCATAGTTCAGAGTACACAGAAATGAAGAGACAGAACAGTCGGTGTATAATGAATTGGAAAATAATGCGGAAGCGGTCCTGGCCCATTTTAAGGTATTATACCGGTATCTGACTGGAGGGACTGAGGGAAAACAAGGAACAGAATTTCCTGCACGTTCTCAGGATAGGTGTGTGATGTCCAGCGAACGCGAAAAAGTAGCACCCACTGAGTGGGTCACGCCTGCACCACCCTGCACACCCACTCGCCCGTACCAACCTGTACAGCCACTCTTTGTATCAATCTGCACACCCACTCGCCCGTACCAACCTGTACAGCCACTCTTTGTATCAATCTGCACACCCACTCGCCCGTACCAACCTGTACAGCCACTCTTTGTATCAATCTGCACACCAACTCGCCCGTACCAACCTGTACAGCCACTCTTTGTATCAATCTGCACACCCACTCGCCCGTACCAACCTGTACAGCCACTCTTTGTATCAATCTGCACACCAACTCGCCCGTACCAACCTGTACAGCCACTCTTTGTATCAATCTGCACACCCACTCGCCCGTACCAACCTGTACAGCCACTCTTTGTATCAATCTGCACACCAACTCGCCCGTACCAACCTGTACAGCCACTCTTTGTATCAATCTGCACACCCACTCGCCCGTACCAACCTGTACAGCCACTCTTTGTATCAATCTGCACACCAACTCGCCCGTACCAACCTGTACAGCCACTCTTTGTATCAATCTGCACACCCACTCGCCCGTACCAACCTGTACAGCCACTCTTTGTATCAATCTGCACACCAACTCGCCCGTACCAACCTGTACAGCCACTCTTTGTATCAATCTGCACACCCACTCGCCCGTACCAACCTGTACAGCCACTCTTTGTATCAATCTGCACACCAACTCGCCCGTACCAACCTGTACAGCCACTCTTTGTATCAATCTGCACACCCACTCGGCCGTACCAATATGTGCGGCCACTCTCCATACCAACATGGACGGACACTCACCTGCGGAAGACGGGCGGTTCCTGCACCAGGATGTGGAAGTCGTTTTCGCTGCACACCTCGCGGTCCCTCTGATGCACCGCGCATTTAAAACTCCGGGTTCGTTTGCCGGTCATCTGGAACACAAAGGTCGAGACATGGTGACACGCTGCGCCATGTTCCGTCCAGCACATCATCATCCGCGGATGGTGGTTGTTATGGAGGTACGAATTAAATCTTGATATTCACACAAAATTAACGCTTCGCAAGGCAGTGACTAAGTTGTCATTGTAGCATAAGATATGTAAGTTAGGCATGATCTGCTCTGCAAAGCCTGTGTGTGTAGTGAAAACGAAAAATTTAATAACACGCTATATGTGCGAAGTGTGCGCTTGAAAAAGGCGAAGCATATTCATGAAAAGAAAAGCCAATCCTCTCGTCAGAGAGGATGATACATAAGGACTATGACAGCAAAGGTTTAATTCATAAAAAAAAAACTCTGGTCGTTAGCCTCAAAGGGCTTGGGGTCAAGACGGACTGAGTGGCGGTAAACCGCCAGTTGTACAGTAACTATGACTCCGATTTCGCAGGGAAAAAGAAGACGCAAGTTACAGGAATTAATATCCGTATCGGTGGGAAACTGTGAAGGCGATTTGCTGGGCCGGACATGCAGCACATGGGAAGCATATAAATTTATAGTGGCATATATTCAAGGAAAGGGATCGGAGAGGGCATGGAGGCAAACACGTGACTTTAATACCAGAATTAATTTTAATGAATCATACCGTGTGGGCGTGGATTGGTTGAAACAGCCGTGGACAGTGTCCACTATGGACATGGTAATGTTCTGGGGGGGGTGAAAAAAAGGGCAGGAAATTTTTATGTATGACATGCTATCAGTTTCTCAAGAACGAAAATGCGTTTACAGATAAGAATTTTCCTTTGTGTCTTATTTCACGACGGTGTCAGTAGCCAAATTATATAGCGTCGAATGGCAGAGGCATTTGAAAGGATCTGCAAGAAAGCAATGGTGGTCGACTACCTCGGTATTTGTCTGGAGGGTCTTAGGAAAATCCCGAAAACCTCAGTCATGATAGCCGACATCCCAGCAGGAATTCGAACACAGTACCTCATAAGACATGAACACAATTATTGTTTCTGGACATTACCCATTGTCCTCTTTTTATTTAAAACGTTTCGGAGACTTGATTGTTCCGCCTTCAGGAGTAGGCTTCACCTGAAGGCGGAGACAGAATCGCCTGAAAACGGAGACATAATCCAGTCTCCGAAATATTGTTTTAAGTAAAAAATATGATACATAGTGTCCTGAAACAAAATAACTATTAAAATGCTAACGTTACAAACTTTTAAATGTTACGATACATGAATAAATGCGATGGCTAACGAACCTGCTCGGCGGAGCCAAATAACAGACTCGGAGACAGAGCTTCGTAAAGAGATCTGAGTCGAGAAGAAGTAAATGGGCGTGCAATTGCAAGATAAACCGTTTAAATACAACAATGGGCAGACCAGTGTTTGCACACAGATATGGCCCGGCGTGGGGTGGACTCTCGGCTCCGATCTCGTTACGCCGAGGTTCCTTCCATGTCTTGGCGAACCATCAGTTTAAATGGAGTCAGAAGACCGATGAACGGTTCGCTGAAACGCCACACGGGCGCTGGTGGAACTAGAGCCTGAGTCTCTGTGCTCCTGACAACGGTGCCTGGAACTGACTCAATTATTTATCCTTCTTCTCCTTCCACACACATTAGGCCATTCAGGATTAATTAATTCCGAAATGTGGGTGCTGGGAAGAACATTGGGACCGATGAGGAATGAAGTGACAGGAGGTTGGAGAAAACTGCATGAAGAGCTTTGTAACTCATACTCTTCGATAAGTATAATTATAATGATCAATTCAAGGGGGGTGAGATAGGCAGGACATGTAGCACGGATGGGGAGGGGGATACGTATAGGATGGGTGGGAAAGCCAGAATGAAGACCAAGACGTTGGTTGGTGAGTAATACTGTCGCGTCTTTCCTAGATAACGCGACAAGAAACAATGGGTTTCGGATCAGACAACTGTTTATTGGACAATAACTAGTTCACATTCACAAATATAATCACTCTCAGCAACGCCTTTCACGTTCCCTCTTCAATGGCTATACTCCTTCACCGCTATTCCCGGTGGAGTGTCTTCGTTCTTGGGTCTTCCCTTGCTTAAGTACTTCCATAGGCAACGGTCTATGTTTCGTTGCCTAGGTATTGCTAGACGTTGACCAGCAATGGACGTTCTACAGTCCGGCCTTACTGGCGGCACGCCACAATGCCGTTGACCAGCAATGGACGTTCTACAGCCCAGCCTTACTGGCGACACGCCACAATGCCGTTGACCAGCAATGGACGTTCTACAGTCCGGCCTTACTGGCGGCACGCCACAATATTAATATGGACCTTAGAGAGATAGGATGGAGTGGTATGGACTGGACTGATCTAGCTCAGGATAGGGACCAGTGGAGGGGCTCTTGTGAACAAGGCAATGAACAGTCGGGTTCCATAAAATGTTTGGAAGTTCTTGAGTAGCTGAATAACTAGTGGCTTTTCAAGAACTCACCTCCATGAAGTAATAAGTTATAGTCAGTCGGTAGGACTCCTTGGATGGGGAATAGGACCGTAGCAGAGCCGCTACCTGCACAGGACTCACAGACATCCATGCCTCGAGTGGGATTCGAACCCATGACCCCAGTGTTAGAGCGGGCAAAGGCAGTTCATGCCTCAGACCGCGCGGTAACAAACAGCAACTCTCCCAGACTCCTACTCAAAGGAACCAGAGGTAAATCGGCCGGGGCATGAAACTGACCACTCGCTTCCATCTGGTGCCGAGGTCAAAAATGAAGCTATACCTCCACTTCCCCACACGCCTTAATGGAGTGGTGCTCAGTTAATTAAGCACAGAAACAACTTTACCCTGTTGCTCTCAACACTCTCTACGGACACCTGTGATACACTGAAGATTTCGAGAAGTTGTTTCAATGAAAATCCTCAAGACGACGGACATGTCCAGAGCAGCCACGTTTACTGCTTTAAGGTTCCGCCACACAGAGCGCTACGCTATGTTCGCTACGTACGCTGTGTACACTCTGCGACGCAGTTAACATAGGGAACATAGCATACGTAGTGTACGGAAGTCTGTGTGGCCAGTCACACTGGCAATAAAGGGAGATATTTTTCTGTTCGTACAGCGAACATAGCGTACGTGGCGTTCTGTGTGGCAGAACCTTTAATCGCCGTGATACAACCCGAAAAGCGACGTACTGGGCGTGCTTTCAGATATGGCCACTTGGTTGGGAGTGGCAAGGGGCAGTGCACTGTGGGAGGGTCGGTGACGCACTGCAACTGAGATCCTGTTATAACCCATATTTACCCTATAATCCACTCGGGCCGCGCCATAGCTCAATCGGTTAGTCGCTGGCTTCTCAATGCGGCGGCCCGGGTTCGATCTCGGGTCTGGTCAAGTGGGATTTGTGGTGGACAAAGTGGCACTGGGGTAGGTTTCCTCCGAGTACTTCATTCCACCAACTGCTTCACAATCACCCTTAACTATCATCTGGGGCTGGTACAATAAGCCAGAGGTGGCCGCAGTACAAGGGACTTAGTCCCACCCCACTAGCAATAAAAAAAATGATACCCTATAATCCCTGTCTCAGTCAGTGGACTCGACAAAATCCAAAGGGCATTGTGTTCAGAACTCGTGACGAGATCTTGCGCCATGAAACGTGAAGAAATGTTTACTGCCACAGCCAGCAGAACATGACTTCTCGCTGGTGAAGCATAACGTCTCAAAAATATTGTGGGGTAGAATACTACCAAATTTCACAAAGTGGAGAAAAAATGTGATATATTTACAGATCCTCTAAGCAAAATAATTTTACATTTATGTCGTCATGCTTAGTTTCGAAACCAACACACTTGTTTATGTTTCAGTTGTCATGCGATACGGACTATACCCGTTTCCTTTGTTGCGCCTGCAGAACATCCGATGCTACCTCCATATTTTCCTGTCAGCTCACGCTTGCCATCCTATACACATACGGCTGATGGAATATCGAACACAAATCAATACAAGCATCAGAATCAAGAATGACGGAATTCGAGGAACGCCTCAGACCTCCGACTTTTCGGTGCACAATCGTTTGTTATGCTGATTTAAATCTATGATCATGAATATTTTATTCAGTTTCAGTCTCACAATATATGTATAAACCTAAGGTAAGTACACAGGTTCTACATTACATGTTTCGACCACCATTTACTGCCATCATCAAGCAGTAATTATAGTCGCTCTCAACTCTCTCTGCTATTCCCTTCCATTGGTCAATGTATACAATTGGGGGAAAGACGTGTTTACAACGTAGGGTTTAGTTATAAACTTAACAGACTGTAAATTATGTAAACGTTTGTCCTTGTGTTCCGAAGGGTATGAGTTATTCGCAATTCAAACTTCTTTTCATTTTGCAAATTTTGCCTTAAAATCTGCAAATGTGCCTCAAAATTTGTTTATAGTTAAAAGAGAAAATAGTTAAAATCAAACCAATACTATACTTCTTTTGGCTTGTTTTGGACTTCATCCATCGTCTGGTATGTAAAAGACAAAAGACCACGTTTCGGAGACTGCATCTGTCTCCGTCTTCAGGTGGGTAGGGAAGGATAGACCTACTTAGTTGGGCCAGTTAGAAAGAGCTAGTCTCAATCACTGGACCTGAAGACGGAGACAGATCCAGTCTCCGAAACGTCGTGGTCTTTTGTCTTTTACATACCAGACGATGGATGAAGTCCAAAACAAGCCAAAAGAAGTATAGTATTGGTTTGATTTTAACTATTTTCTCTTTTAACTATAAACAAATTTTGAGGCACATTTGCAGATTTTAAGGCAAAATTTGCAAAATGAAAAGAAGTTTGAATTGCGAATAACTCATACCCTTCGGAACACAAGGACAAACGTTTACATAATTTACAGTCTGTTAAGTTTATAACTAAACCCTACGTTGTAAACACGTCTTTCCCCCAATTGTATACATTGACCAATGGAAGGGAATAGCAGAGAGAGTTGAGAGCGACTATAATTACTGCTTGATG